AATTCGGTCTTACATCGAGTGGACAACAAATTAATTCGGTCTTACATCGAGTAGGAAAACAATAATAAATTCGGTCTTACATCCAGTGGACAACAATAATTAATTCGGTCTTACATCGAGTGGACAACAAATTAATTCGGTCTTACATCGAGTAGGAAAACAATAATAAATTCGGTCTTACATCCAGTGGACAACAATAATTAATTCGGTCTTACATCGAGTGGACAACAAATTAATTCGGTCTTACATACGTAGAGAGTGCACAACAATAAATAATTCGGTCTTACGAGGAGTGGACAATAAAAAGACTGTGGTGTTTTTGTTCGTTTTTTTCTTTGCTTCCATATGTGAACTTCGGCCTACGGATATACGAGCCACTTGTGAAGGTAATGTCTTAATTTTATTACGTGTTTGGTGTTGTAATTGTTGTTTTTGTTGTTGCTGTTGTTGTTATTGGTCTTGTTAATGCTTTCCTCCTCCACCTCTTTCTCCTCTTCTTCTTCCTCCCCCTTCTTCTTCTCCTTCTCCTCCTCCTCCTCCTCCTCCTCCTCCTCCTCCTCTGCCTCCCCCTTCTTCTCCTCCTACACCTCTCTCTCTCTCTCTCTCTCTCTCTCTCTCTCTCTCTCTCTCTTCTTCTTCTTCCCCCTTCTTCTTCTCCTTCTCCTCCTCACTTGGGTTTTGAGATGTTTCAAACTAAGATAAATTATATACATGCCACTATCACTGGTCTTGATTGCAGCTCTCAACATAATGTTTTTATTTCGCTCATCCATACTTTAAACTGACACACGAGAGAATGAAAACTTTAATCCCGATCATAATATTTCGAAATATTTAACTGAAACAAACAGAAACAAATTCATACTGTAGCCATATCTATACGAACCGTATTTTATTCTTTAGAAATAAATAACGCTCATCAATTTTTTTTAAAGATTGGAATAAATTAATTAGTGTCACGACACAGTGGAATCAGGCGCTCGTCAATTTTTTGAACATGCGGAATTATTGGTATCATAAGAAAGCTTATTTATTTGCCTTGCTTTCACTGAAAATATACCCTTCTAACTTAAATAGCTGTTGAGATATTTGCGATTGAAGGAGATGAGGTCACCTGGTTTCAGTGGTAAAATTAACTAGAAAATGGCCCTCAAAGTTTGATAATTTCAATAGCATGAGAATCCCCGAAAACGATGAAATTACATATTTTGTGCCTTTAACTTAACCGTATTTCAGTAAAATTCACATGGAAATGTGTTTTTATATGGGCACGAAAGGTGTTGAGGCAAAAAACAAATATTCGACAGAAACTGTCAAACTGACGAGGAAATGCCTGTTCCTTTTATTTCAGTATTTTGACGAGCGCCTGTTTTTACCACGATGCCTGGTGTCTTTCTATCATACGTTATTGGAATCTAAAATCCTTTGTAATTTACTTGTATTTGCCAGAAGGACAGCCTATAGGGCCGACTGTATACAGTCAAACGTTATCAAAGGAAAAATCTATCGTGATTCCTTCATATTGTCAGACATTTGCGTATTGAAAATATAGACATCGATTGATGGAATGTTTCTTATCTTTTGAATAAAGAAGACTTGAGTCCTTTAATGATTTCTGTCATCATCAGTAGGCCTACTACTACTTCGTGAAAGTGTGCCTCGTCTAAGAAAATAGCCTTCTCTCTAACGTGACAAATGATGTATCTTCTGTTATCATGCAATGACACATAAATCGACATTCGAAGAAGTCCTACTCGATCGTCTGCTTTTGCCGTCTGTCTGTCTGCCTGTCGTCTGCTAGTGCTTTCCATCTGTCTCTCTCCCTCCCTCTAGCGGTCAGAACATAGTGGGTGCCAGCCGTATTCATTGCACTTCTGCCCTCGCTACAGTCCGCCTCGGCGATACCCGTATGGGACCGCGGCTCGAGCAGCTAGCACTCAGCAGATCTCACTCGTCGCCGTCGTCGCAGCGTACAGAATGCGAGAGTCGACCGACCGACCGACCCACCGACCGAGCGAACGTACGAACGAGCGAGCGAGCGAGCGCACGGGAAGCGGCGAGACAAACTGAATGAAGAAGAAACCCCCTTGAAGTAAGCAAGCTAGTGACGAGCGTAGTTCCTGCCACCAGCCGCGTGTCGTTAGCGTCTAAACTAATAAAAAAAGAAATATTTAAAAAAGAAGAGAAAAAGAAAATAAAAATAGTAAAGTATAGAAGACGAAGAAGAAGAAGGAGAAGGTGAATCTGATCATCGAGACATACTGGATGAATACGTTCACTTTACTGAGGAGGGGGGCATCTAGTAGTGTGGTATTATCCAGGGATTTAGCAGATCGGCGGTGCCATCTAATGCTTTTCTTCCGCCACGGTGTACATGTTCTTGTCAGTTTCGGTGTCTGTTAGAACACGAGAGAGGGTGAGAGAGAGAGAGACCAAG